CGGGGCCCAGGGGCCCTCCAAAGCAGCTTTCTCTGGGAGCTGGATCCTGGACCCTTGGAGAGGATGGGCTGGGAGACTAGTTTCTGGTGGCAGAGCAAGACCTGGGACCCCGCTGCCATCTCTGGGTAATGAGCAGCCGGTTCCACACCCCACTGGTGCGTCCAGTTCTGTTTTGCTGTCTGAGGGTTAAGTGGGGCTGCTGGACGGAACAGGACCTCCAGTTAAAGTCGAATTTCAGGGAGATGAGGAAGAATTTGCGGTGCTTTGTGAGTATGTCCCCAATACAGCTGGGGATATACTTACCTCAAACGTTATTCGCTGTTTCTCCAAAACCCAACTTGAGCTGGACGTCCCGCGCCGTTGTTTGCTAAAGCTGGCTGGGTGAGGGCTGGGCACGGAGCAAGGGCCCCTCACCTGTGGGACCAAACGCCTGTGCCTCCCTCGCCCGTCTGTGGGGCGGGGCGGTGACCCCGCCACCTGCCCCTGTGACCCCGCGGCCCCCGATGTGGCCGCTCAGCTGCCCCTGTGCCGCAGGCATGTCCGACTTCAACTACCTGCACAGCAACTGCTTCGAGATCACGGTGGAGCTGGGCTGCGTGAAGTTCCCCCCCGAGGAGGCCCTCCACACCCTCTGGGAGCACAACAAGGAGCCGCTCCTGAGCTTCGTGGAGATGGTGAGCGGCAGCCTCGCTCTGCCCGCGGGCTGGGGCGAGGGCGCCCCTCTAGCGTGGGGTTCTAGACTCTGCATGGGGGCTCCCTGCCCACCTACGTAGTTATATTTCACCTGTTTGTTAGTTAAGCGCCCACTTATTCACAACCGAAGCCTCCCTGGCCTCCGCCCACAGGCCGTGCCCTGGGGGGGGGTCCCCGTATAGCAAGGGCCTCAGGGCCCAAAGGGGCACAACTGAACAAGGAGAGAGTCAGGGGCAGGCTCAGCCCAGGGGAAACAACTGACCCAGCCTCAGAGGCCGTGGGGGCTTCCTGGAGGAGGCAGTACCTGGGCTGTGTATTGAAGGAGTAGGGGGAAGGTGATGGGACAAGGAGAGCTCGGGCAGGGGCCAGTGGGCGAGGGCCCCGGTGGCCATAGGAATGCGGTGGGCACCGGGCAGGGCGAGGCCTGGCTCTGGGCAGCAGGGTGTCTGTGTGGTCCAGGGCCCTGGGCACGTCTGCCTGCAGACGGGATGGCACAGGCTGGTGAGGGAGGGGGAGGGGTGACTGCTGCCAAGGTCTCCCAGGAATAGTTGAGGGGGTAGTGAGTGGGGGCTTTGGACAACGTGACTAAAATAACCCCTCGCTGGACTTCGAGACTCAAGTCTCAGGTGACAGAGGAGGGACTCGGTGCCAGGTGTCCAGCCACCTCTCCCAGCCTTGCCCCAGACCTCAGTCTCCCCAGTGTGGCTCACAGCCGGGGGGTGGCACGGGGTTCTGAATAAGGCAGCAGGCAGGAGAGGAATGAGGGAGTCAAAATGAAATGCAGCCCGGCCGGCGTGGCTCAGTGGTTGAGCGTCGACCTAGGATCCAGGAGGTCAAGGTTCGATTCCCGGTCAGGGCACATGCCCGGGTGGTGGGCTCGATCCCCAGTAGGGAGCGTGCAGGAGGCAGCCGATCAATGACTCTCTCATCATCGATGTTTCTATGTCTCTCTCCCTCTCCCTTCCCCTCTCTCTCAAAATGAATAAAAACATATTTTTTTTAAAAATTCTGGCACCAGTCCTGGGCAGTAGACAGGTGCCGATTTTATAGATGGAGGAGTGGGTGCCGGGGAAGGAAGGTGCTGGTGTGGGGTCTCTGGGCCATGCCCGGCTCCTGTCCCTGGCTCTCAGCGGCTGTGTGACAGCCGGAGGAGGAGACAGAGGGTGATGGGGCCCATCTGTCCATTGTCACCAGCGACTGCCCAGAGCGTGAACTGAGACCTGCCTGCCCCAAGTCCCAGTTCTGTCCATGACTTTCTTCCTTTCTAGAAAGATCAGGGACCTTCCTCTAGGTGAGAGCCAGGCAGAGCCAGGGGTCAGCCGCCATAGCAACAGGAGAAAGGCAGAGATAACCACTGGACGACATTAGCGTTTGGGTTTCTGTTTTATGGCCGAGCCAACGACCTCTGGCTGTGTGGGGCGAGTCATCATTCAGTCATGGCTCGAGGCCA